GCTGATGCAGTCTTGAAATTCTAATTTTTGAACAAGGGGTCCCGCATTTTGCATTTTTATTTTGCACCAGGCCCCGCAGTAGCTGGTCCTGGGGCCTGGTACACCTGTAGCTTCCACCCTTAACCCCCACTAAACCCAACACACCATCTGGAACATCAGTGTGACTCCAGATTGGGGCAGAACAGCCTTATTTTCATATCAAAGCAATCATACACGTTATAGGAGAGCATGAGAAAGTCACATAAGTTTAAAAGGTAAAATGAGAGACTCAGTTTTTTTTAACGTTGGGAAGTTTGCACACGAGTGTGTGTGTGCGCTAAGTTGCTTCAGTCGTGTCTGACTGTTTGCAACCCTATGGACTATAAGCTGCCAGACTCCTTTGTCCATGGGATTCTCCAGGCAAGAATACTGGAGTGGGTTGCCATGCCCTCCTCCAGGGGATTTTCCCGACCCAAGCATCGAACCCACGTCTCCTGTGGCTCCTGCAGTACAGGTGGATTCTTTACCACTGAGCCACCGGGGAAGTCCATTGGCAAGGTTACTCCTGGCCAAATGCTCAGGCTCTCAAGGACTAAGCTATCTCCTTGGCTGCCAAGGATGTCCACCCCGGAACAGCCCTGGTATCTCTCCCTCAACCCGGTGCACTCTACAATGAGCCACCTCCAGGAAGTTTCTGAGCACCGATCACAGAGGGTTAGAGATCCGTTTCTCAGCCTACCCTCTCAAATATGCCTGGGCTCTCCAGCCTCCCTCACTGCTACTGTCCCTAATATGCACAGCACTGTGGGCACACGTGGGGTACAGACCCTGTCTGGGACTTACTCGTCAGCAGTTCCAGCCTGAGCTCCAGGGTCAAGGTCATAGCTTGTCCAGCTGGTATTGGAATGAGATTGCATGGGCTTTGGAGTCAGATAGTTGAGGGATCAAATTTTGACCCCACCAAGGACCAGGAATGATTCTTGCAGTCATTTAACTACCACCAAAGCACCTGCTATATGTCAAGAGCTGTTCTAGATACTGGTGACAAACGGCATGTTGGATTGTATGTTTTCAACTTGGCATAATTGCTGTCTCCTTCTGTAGCCTGCTCTACAAAGGGAAAGACAAGAACCATATTTCCCAGACTCTCCTCCCCTGTATGTTTCTGGGTTCGAGGCTGTCAATGAGATAGATTCCAAGTGGTGGATGTGAAGCTTGTAATCGCCTCCCCTGTATGTTTCTGGGTCTGAAGCTGTCAATGAGATTCAGAGTGGTGGATGTGAAGCTTGTAATCTCCTCCCCTGTATGTTTCTGGGTCCAAGGCTGTCAATGAGACAGATTCAGAGTGGTGGATGTGAAGCTTATAGCAACTTCCAGGTGTTAGTCACTCAGTCCTTTCCGATTCTCTGGGACCCCAGGGACTTTAGCCCATCAGGCTCCTCTGTGCATGGAATTCTCCAAGTAAGAACACTGGAGTGGGTTGCCATTCCCTTATCCAGTGGATCTTCCTGACCCAGGGATTGAACCCAGGTCTCCTACATTGCGGGCAGATTCTTTATCATCTGAGCCACCAGGGAAACCTGCTTGTAGGGAAGTGTGCTAGCCAGCAGCGGCTTCCTGGAAGTTCTTTAAGATTCACAGCAGCTTCTGGGCAGACTCTTGAAAACTACTTTCCTTGTTGCAACAGACTGAAATCATTGACAACCAATTCCAGTATTTCTCAAAATTCACAGTGGCCTCTTGGAGAGCTCTTGAAAACCATCCACTTTTCCTCTCCCCACCTGTGGCTTCCCACCCCATCTTAACTCCCATCACCCTTCCAATAATTGTGAGTCTCCAATTCCACGGATTAAAACCCTTCAAAAGTGGAATCCATAGAGTAGTGTTTATTTACCCGATCAAACCACAACTGAAAAACAACAGCCCACAAATCAAAGAACCTGTCCTCAGGAGAACTTGTACTTCTAGTGGGCAGAGTCAGGTCACAAACAATGAAAGGCAAAAATAAGGGTAGGTTAGGGTACTCAGAGGGGCCCTTCTGGAGGGACTGACTTTTGAGTTGAGACCAAAAATGAGCTGAAGGAAGCCACCATGGGAATGTGCAGGAGAAATTTCCAGAGAGGGAACAGCAAGTAGAAAAAGCCTTGAAGTGGAATGAAGGTAGCATATCCAAGAAAGAGCAAGAGTCTCTCACTACTAACCAAATTAGGAGCTACCACTAACGCTACCTCTACTTGTTTGAGAACCTATTACTGCCTGCAGTGATCTTAGCACTTTGTTGACTGGACTACTGTCCATCTATTAATATTTCAACTATAATAGAAGTCTATGCGAAAGGGGTCTTGTCTTGTTCAACACTCCATCTCTAGCACCTGGCACAATATCTGACCATTGGACATTTAATATTTGGTGAATGACCCAACAGGTGAATGAAGTGTGATAAATACCATAATACAGACAGGTTCACAGTATAATGGAAACTCCAAGAAGGGACCATGAACCCTGTAGGAGCTGGAAGTTGGTCTGGGAAGTTGTTTCTTACCAACACCTTACTGATAAAGGTGTTTCTTACCTCTGATAAAAGAGAACTAGACTGACTATCCAAGGGCCTTTGGCTTTGAACTTCTGGCTTTGCTTATCCCAGGACCATGTTGGACGTGGTTCATCTAGTGTGGCCATTTTTCTGGGTGCTAAGTGGAAAAGCAGTTTCAAGGCCTAATTATTGCTTGTCCTCACACACTGTAGTTCTGTCATGAACAGAAATCAGCTAAGCTTCAATATCAGAAATGCCTCCAGATGTATGGGGAGAGGAGGTTTGCTGGGGAAGACATTTGTATTTGCATTGACACAGATCTGCTTGGATGACAGCTGATACATCATTTGTTAAAGCCTGAAACGTTCAGACACAGGTTGCCATGGTGACACCCACTCTCCAGGATGGGACCAAGAGATGTAGCAACTGAAACTGACCGCAGTCAGATTACTAGGGTCTCATCCCTCATGGTCCTTCCCTTCCCCTCTCTGCTCTTCCAACCATGGTTTCCCATGACAGTTGAGGCAGAGAGCAAGTGGTTGATAAAGTGACCTCTTCAAAACACAAATCTAATCACATTGGTCCCCTGCTCTAAACCAGTCAGGGGCTCCTCTGCTTTTCAATTAAAATAAAATCCAAAACTCCTGTGGTCTATGAGACTCTGCGTAAGTTTCCCTGATGACAGCGGCAGTTCACTGTCCCCCAGGTGAAATCAGTCACCCCGGACACTCCCTCCCAGGACTCAAGGCTTTCCACTCCAGCCCAGCGTATAGTGTATAATGATACATTCATTTGTTCACCATCTGCCTCTCCCACTTGATTATAAACTCTTTAATGCCAAAGTCTATTTGTTAACTCTAATAATCCATTGTCTAGCACAGTACCTGGCAGGTAATAGGTACTCAACAAATAACTGCTATTAAGCTGACTGACACCCATCTCCACTCAAAGGCTTCCCTGGTGCCTTGCCAGGAGAATTCCGTGGACGGAGGAGCCTGGTGGGCTACAGTCACCGTGGTGTCGCAAAGAGTCAGACAGGACTTTCACTTCCCACGTGAAGGAAGGAGACTGAGAAACACCATTCCCCAACCCGAGGGCGGAGGGAGGGAATACCTGAAGTGGGGGAATCAAGGACCCTCAGAGGGTCCCAGCTCAGGCCAGCTCAGCCCACACGGAGGAGATAAAGGAAGAGTCCTGGCCAGTGGCCCCCGTCCCTGGGGAGGCTGCTGCGGTCACACCCTGGGACAGACCTCCCCCAAGTCGGTCCTTCTTCCCCTGGTCTCTAGCATTGGGGAGCAACTGCCTATAGCTAGAAACAAGGCAGAAAACTCACTCCCAGGTTAAATTCCCTAGTGCTTGGGAAGTACAGTCATTCCCCATGACTTTTTCATCTTAATAATAACTAGCATTTACCAGCACATGCAATATGCCAGAAACTGTGCTGAGAGCACTTTACAAAAATATATTCTTTAATCACACAACAGTTCTCTGGAGTTGAGGTCATTATTATCCCTATTTTTCAGATGAGGATGCTAAGATAAGAAAATTACCCAAAGTCATAGAGCTACTAAATTGGAAATGCTTGACGTCTTAACCATTACGTGAGGCCACTTCTCCTTAAATCTAACCTGTATCCCCTTCCAACCAGCCTCCTGCCTCTGTGTGAGGCAGAGAAAAGCCTGAAGTTCCACCAGCTAGGCAAAGGGTTAGTTGAGGGGTGGGGAGGGGAAGGGCAGAGAGCACAGCTGAAGAGACTGGGAGCTCACTCTTTCTGAGAGGAGGTTTACAATTCTGTGGGAGAGTTTGGGGATGAATTAGGATGATTGAAAGGATATTAAGCAAACTGGAGAACAATTTTTTTAAAAAGCTGGAAGTATTAGGTATTAAGTGGGAGCTGCCATAACAGACACATCTTAAAATCTCAGTGGATTAACACACAAAGGTTTATATCTCATCCATGTCACAGGCTGAAACTGGTTGGCAGCTCTCCTCCAGGTGGTGACTCAGGAACCCAGCCTCCTTCCATCTTGCAATGCCACCATTTCAGTGCCCTTCACTCCAGCTTCCTGGAGGGGAGAGTCAGGGAGTGGAGAAGATCTAGGACTAATAAGGACTGTATCACTTCCCCTTGCATTTCCATTGGCCAGAACTCAGTCACATGGTCCCAGCTGAACCACAAAGGAGGCTGGGAGATGTCATCTCCCGTTTTCCTGGGAAAACGAAACAGGATGAACACATAACATTGTTTCTACAATAGATATATCTATAGATATATCCATATCATATAAGAAATAAGATGTAATCATTGCACCTCGTGTAACTCAATCATGGAAAGTATTTACACAGTCACAGTAAGGCAAACATCAGATATTGGTTCAACCAAAAATCACAATATAACTGAATTAAGAGCATGAAGAGAGCGGTGGTTGGAGAGGGAGCTGCCAGGCTGGAAAAGGAGAGCAAAATCTATTTAAGTAGGAGGTCAGTAGACAATGTTGAAAAAAAATTTTAATTGAGAATATATTGCATAATACATGTAAGTCAAACCATCATGGTGTACACTTGAAGCTTATAAAGTGATGTATGTCAATAGATCACAATAAACCTGGGTGGGGGGGAGAGAAAGAAACAGCATTTTAAACAGCTTTTTTAAAAATACAGTAGAAAATGCCCAAAGGAAGACAGAGTTTACGATGTTTGACTCCAGAGAGTTGGATTCTGGCACTGGGTGTGATACTTTCCAATTTTAATTTTTTAACTACATACTCATGTTACCTTGATAAAAAAATAAAAAATTAATGTTTAGGGACTTCCCAGTGGTTAAGACTCCGCATTTCTGCTGTGCACAGCATGGGTTTAATCACTGGTTGGGGATCCCACATGCCACACTAAGGTGTTGCAAGCTGCGCACTGCAGCCAAAAAAATAATAATAATTTTGGGGGGAAGGAAAAAACAAAGAAAGGTAATGCTATTGCTTCTCTAGCGAGTAGAGGGCAAGGACAAACGCCAGGTATGACATACAGAGGAGACACAAAGCAGAAACCCAGAGGCACGCGCCTAGCAAAATGCACAGTGTCTCAGTCTCACCACGACTTGGAGAAGCATGCTTGGGCCGGACATGGCCGGAGCACCGTAGGCTGTCCTCCAGGGGAGGGACCCTGCACTGATTAAGTGGGCCAAGTTAGGCTATCGAAACACCCCCAAAATCACAATGGCTTCACACAAGTTTCTTTCTCACTCATGTTCATAACCCATGAGGACTGGGGAGTGGCAAGGCCCTGCTCCCTTCAAGCACTCGGGAATCAAGCAAGGAGGCTGCCCTATTCTGGAGCTTCTCCACAGGCCACACTGTCTCCTCAGCTGCCATGCACCTGCTGTTGGATGCCTCCCCCAAGAAGGGACACATGTCCTTCCCTCTCACAGCCCATTGACCAGAACCACACGGCCCCGCCCAACTGATATATATCTTCTGAGTGCCCAGAGGGGAGGAAACTGGACACTGGTACATGCTAGTTGTGTCTACATGCATCATAATTTCCTGTCACCAGGGAAATTTTAGAGGAGTTGGGGGGAGGTGGGGCCCCCCTGACCGGGTTGGCAGCTCCAGGCTTTGCAATCAGAGTGACAGCCTTCTACCAGGGTCAAGCTAAGGACACACTTATTGATAGTCTACAATACGGAGTCTGTAATCTGCATCTGAAACTCCTAGTCCATGAAATGGGTTACTCTTTTGAAGCACTAGGGAAATGGAGGAGAAAGGATGCAGGGCTCAACTACCTAATCCATTTCCCCAACTCTCAGTAGGACCTCATCAAACCAGCCACAAGGAGCACAACACAACAGAAGAAGAAAAACAAGACTTGATTTTAAACCACAAGCAGAGCTCCTTCTCAAGACCCACCAGGTCAAGGCCAACTTCCCTTTCATTTCTTTCACAGATGACGCGACACCTATGTGAACCAGTCACTTCACCAACAAGCACCCTCATCTCACCTTCACGCTGCTCCAGAAGTCAACCTTGGCCTGGGTAAACAGTCTCCACTGTCCTGTTCTGCAGTTTTATTCTAGATACTTCTCCCTGTGTGGAATATGCAAAGGCTGTTGTTACCACACTGGCCCAAGGCATCCAAGACAAGTAAGCATTCAATCCTGGTCTGTTTCCATCAATGTTAAAGATTATTCCTAGAGTCATGTGTCTTAGGGAAGTGGTAGCAACAGTGATGATAAAAAGAACAGCAGCCAACATTTACTGAGTGTGCCCGACACAGACTGTTTACTTAACTCCTTTCGTCCTCCCAACAGCCCAGAAAGGCAAGAATTTTTATCACCCCCATTTGTAAGAGATTTAGGAACTTCCCTAGGTATACAAAACTAGTCCGTGGAAAAGCTAGGATCTGAACACATACATTCTGGCGCCAGACCCAGGGTTGGGAGTTTTACAAAATTTAAGTTTAAATTCTGGCTCTGCCACTTCACACATGCATGTTGTTTTAGTCGTGTTTAGACTAAGTCGCTTTAGTCGGGTCTGACTCTTTGCGGCCCCACGGACTGTAGCCGGCCCAGGCTCCAGGCAAGAATACTGGAGTGGTTTGCCATGCCCTCCTCATACACGACATTAATCACTTCTTATCACTTCTTATCTTTGAACCTCAAAATCTCCCTAAAAAATAAGCCTCAGTTTCTCCTAAAATGGGGGGGGGAGCTGTTAAAATTTTACCTCTCTAGAGGTGGTTGAAGATGAAATAAAATACCCTGGAGATTCTCAGGGCAGTCCTGGCTGATGAAGGAGAGCAGGGTGAGCCCCTTTGGAGATGTGCTTGAGCCAAAGCTGTGCTAGAAAGAGGGCTCGACCGACTTTTGGAGAGGTCCCATCGCCCGCCTCCCCCAGCTATGTTTTTCATCCATAAATCAGAGACCAGGAGCCTTGCAATTGCACAGACACAGGATATGTGCTAGAACACTTTCACCCTTTCTCTCCCCTCTGACCGTTGGGCATTTGGGTCATTTCCAGTTTCTCACTGTTATAAACACTCAGCCTCACAGGTTTCTTGCCCAGGCCTGTGCCCAGCTCCGCCTCTGGCATTTCTCCCCACTTTCTGAGTCAGACCTTTGGAGGTGCCTAAGTGGGGCTGGCCAAGGAGCCCTCACCTGGCACAGCCCTCGCCCTGGGACTGGAAAGAGCAAAGACTCAGCTGCCAGCCACCCAGCACCAGCCGGGGCTCGGTCTGCCTGTGTCTGCGGACCATCACCCCGCCCGGGATCATGCCTGATAAAAGGGAGTCCAAGCAAATTCATTTCTGTTTACCCATATCCACTTTAATATTAGTCATCGCTCAGCTTTGACACCCCACAGCCATCATCCATCTCAGCGGACACAAACTATTACCTGCGAGAACCACAGATCAGAGTAAGAGCTCACCACCTCTGGATGCCCGAGTAGAGCCATCACAACCATTTTATGGCTTTTAAATACCTATGAAGAATCAGAGACTCCTAGAGCCAAGAATTCAAACTAAGTTTTGGACCCCAAACAAGAAAGAATCAAGGGGCTTCCCTGGCGGCTCAGAGGTAAAGAATCTGCCTGCCAGTGCAGAAGACACAGGTTTGATCCCTGGTCCAGAAAGATCCCACATACCACGAGGCAACTAAGCCACAACTACTGACCCTGTACTCCAGAGTCCAGAAACTACAACGACTGTGCTTCGCAACAAGAGAAGCCTCCACAATGAGCAGCCCGAGCAGCAACGAAGACCCAGCACTGCCAAAAAGAAATAATGAAGTAAAATTATTTTTAAAAAAAGAAAGAACCAAGCTGATTCTCTCAATCCTGAAATGAAAATCCTTTTTTTTTTCCCTGAACTACAAATCAAAGCCAAATCTCCCCAGGAAATATCCAATAGACTATTTTGATCTAAATCATGAGCTGAGCCTCAGTTTCTCTATCTGTATAATAAGGTTAAAAAGTACTCAGTCCATACAGGCTGCTATAACAAAAATACCATAGACTGTATGACTTAAACAACAGAAATGTGTTTCTCATAGTTCTAGACGCTGGCAAGTCCAAGATCAAGGCTCCGGCAGATTCAGTGTCAAATCCTACATGTTATTCAGGGCTCAGTTCAAATGTTACCTCCTCCGTGAAGTCTTCCATATTAATTAGGGTAACTCTTAATAATCCCAAACCATCAGTGACTTATTGTAATAGAAGTCTACTTTTTGCTCAAGTAACAGAACGAGGTAGGTATTCTTGGCTGGCAGGTGCCTTCCCTCCTTGGAAAGAACTTCCTGCCATCTGCAGATTCTACCTTGGCATCCTCTTCTTCCAGCCAAGAAAGGACCAAGGAGAGAAGCTACACTCATCCTTAATAAAAAAAACTCCAGACTGGGACTTCCCTGGTGGTCCAGTGGTTAAGAATCTGCCTGCCAAGGCAGGGGATGTGGGTTCGATCCCTGGTCCGAGAAGATTCCACATGTTGCAGGGCAACTAAGCCACGCTTTAGAGCCAGTGCCCCACACCAAGAGAAGCCAGCGCAATGAGAAGCCCCCCGCTTGCCGCAACTAGAGCAAGCCCGTGCATGGCAATGAAGACTCAGCGTAGCCAAAAATAAATAATTTAAATAAGCAAATAAATAAAGCTCCAGCCCGGAAGTGCTTCACGTTTCACTGGCAAAAGCAATGGGGTGGCCACTTGGGATGTCAGGAGGAAACGGCAGCCCGGGGCTTTAGCCTGCAGAACAGGACACACACATGTCTCGAGGAGAGCCAGCCCTAGCTCTGCCCTTCCTAACCGGAACCGCCAGCCTGCCCAGCGCCACCCTCCACCCCAGGCATCCCTCCCTTCTCTGGTCCTCACTGCAGTTCGTCCGCCCCCAGGCAGCTTCCCACACCAAAACCAACAGTGCGTGGGGGCTCATTCTGTGGACTCTCCAGGCAAGAATACTGGAGTGGGGTTGCCACTCCCTTCTCCAGGGAATCTTCCTGACCCAGGGATCCAACCTGGGTCTCCTGCACTGCAGGCAGATTCTTTACCATCTGAGCCACCAGGGAAGCCACTTTCCTGGGTTATATCTCTCTAGATGACTAGTACTAACTCTTAGGATCCAATCTCCTCCTGCCTCAGATAGGGCTGGAAGCACAATCTGCTTCGCTCTACAGCTATAATAGGAAGTTAGATAGAACTCTCGTGTTGTCTCAATTTTTCAGTTAAAGACTAAAAGCAGAATGATAGATAACATATATCCCCACATTTTAAGGAATAATGTTCTTTCTCAAGAAGACATACATATGGCCAACAGGCACATGGAAAGATGCTCAATGCCATTAATCAGCAGAGAAATGTAAATTAAAACCACAATGAGATGTCACCTGTCAGAATGACTAGCATCAAAAAGACCACAAATAACAAATGTTGGCGAGGATGTGGAGAAAAGGGAACTCTCGTATACTGTTGATGGGAATGTAAATTGGTGCAGCCACTGTGGAAAAGAGTGTGGGGCTTTTTCAAAAAACTAAAAACAGAACTACCATATGGCCCAGCAATTCCACTCCTGGATAATATATCTAAAAAAAATGAAAATACTAATTCAAAAAGGTACACGCACTGAAGCTTTCAATGGCTAAGTCAAAGGCTTCTCTTGGTAAATGTCACACTACACTTGAAAATATGTGGGTTACTTTCAAATATCTCCTGATATTAAATTGCTAACATAATTCCACAGTGATAGGAGAACAGACTCTGTATGATTTCAATACCTTTAGACCATCAGATTTTTGCACCTAGTCTTAAGTCCCCAGATGTGCTCCAGTGTCTCCAAGTTTATAGTCTTTGGGAACTTGAACAAAATTTGTATCCTACTGTTGTGTGAAAATGTATAAATCTTAATTATGTTGAATTGGTTCATAGCGCTTTTCAGGTCTACTATATCCTTCTACTTCTCATATATTAATTCTACTAATTTTTGAGAGTTTGACATTGAAACTCCAACTAAAAATCTTAATTTATCTACCTAAAAAAATAATTGTAATATATATATATAGTGGATTTATATGCAACTTTGTCCTGTATTTCCCAAGTCTCCTGTAAATGTGTTACATTTTCATAATTAAAAAAAAAAGAAGCATGCACCCCATGTTTTTGTTTGCTTGGCTTGGTTTTTCTTCGGCACACCACAGGGCATGCGGATTCCCCAACAATATATAAAGACATAAATATAAGAACAAACCAGTAGTTACCAGTGCAGAGAGGGAAGGGGGAAGGACATGAGAGGGGTAGGTGATTAAGAGATACAAACTACTATGTCTAAATTAAATAAGCTACATAAATATATTGTACAGCACAGGAAACAAAGCCAATATTTCATAATAACTGTAAATGGAGTATAACAACAGAAAACAAAAGGATCTTGTCATACAGAAATATTTAAAACTTTCTTAAATAATACTTGGAGAAAAAAAAATAAAACTGACTTTTGCTTCCAGCCAAGATGGCCTAATAGAGATTAGATGTACCTCTTGCCTGAAGCAAACAAAAACCAGACATAAAGAAAAAAAAAATTTCAAGACACTGGACATTAGTAACAAAGGACAGTGATCCCCAAGTAGTTTTCAGGCTGCAGTAACAGGGAGGGGGTCCAAAGGAGAGCCAGGCAAGTTCCTTGAGTTGAGGAGACCAAGGCGGCTAGATTTCACAGGACAGAGGACCAGAGAGGACAGAGCTATCCAGAGAGAGGACTCCAGAGATCAAAGCATCCTCTGACTCTGTCTCTCCCCATCCTCACTGGCACCACCAGAGTTCAGACCACTGTCACCTCTCACAAAGATCCCTGTAGCCCTCCTGCAATCTAATCACACAGCACAAACACACAAGTCTCCTAGGCAAACCCTTCAGTAGCTCCCCAGCACCACCAGGACATCAGACAGACTCCACAGTTCAGCTAGTAAGACCTCTTATAATCTGGCCCCAACCTATTTTTTTCAGCTTCTCTCTCGTCCCTCTCCCACTTGACATTTCATACTCCAGCCAGAGTGAATACCTGCAAATCCCCTGAATGTACCATATTCATTCTTGCCTCTGGCTTTTTGCACATGCAGCTTCCTTAACCTCTGGCTCCATCTCTTCCCTCCTCCTTTTCCCCTTGCCAAAATTTTCAGGTATCTCCTTAAGGCCATTTCCTCTGGGAAACTCTCCTTAACCCCATGAGTCTGCACTAGGTACTCCTATCAAGGGCTCCCCAAACTTCCTGTCCCTAACTCTTAACACTGTATTAAGAAACGTGTCTGTCCTTCTCCCCTACCAGGCAATGAGCTCCCTAAAGGGAAGAACTTTATCTTATTCCTGCTGGCTTCCCAGAACCTAACACAAAGTAAGCAATCAGTAAATACTTGCAGAATTTTCAACTGCATGAGTAAATGACTGACAATCACCCAGTTGTGTTACAGCAGTCAGCATACCATCTGTCTGCCTCCAAGGCCCCCAACCTCTCACTTCTCTGGAACACTTGGGAAGAGCTGGAGAGAAGTTTCTGAACTGATAACCTGTGGAGGGTGAACTTCAAGACTATGTTAATTCTCTTTTTAATTTCTAGGTGGCCTCCACTCCATCTTCTTAATGAAGGGGTTCCCAACCTCTGGGCCATGGACTGGTACCTCCTGTCAGATCAGCAGTGGCATCAGTCTCATATCATAAATAAAGTGCACAACAAATGTAATGTGCCTGAATCATCCCAAAACCATCCCCCACTCCAATCCATGAAAAAACTGTCTTCCATGAAACCAGTCCCTGGTGCCAAAAAGTTTAGGAACTGCTGCCTTAATGCATGGCTTCCAACCTTGTCTGCACTTTGAAACCATTTAGGGAGCTTTAAAAATTACTGACACCTGGGTCTCACCCCCCAAAGGTTCTTATTTGACAGTCTGGAATGTAGCTTGGGATTCTAACCATTTGGCCAGGTTGAAGCCTGCCCCTAAGGCCATACAGGGCTTTCCTGGTGGTTCAGATGGCAAAGGATCTGCCTGCAATACGGGAGACCTGGGTTCGATCCCTGGGTCGGGCAGATCCCCTGGAGGAGGGCATAGCAACCCATTCCAGTATTCTTGCCTGGAGAACCCCCATGGGCAGAGGATCCTGGCGGGCTACAGTCCAAGGGGCTGCAAAGACACGACTGAGCAACTAAGCACACACAAGGCCATACAACCTTTTCAGCAAGACTCCTATTTACTTTTTAAAACTCACAGCAGGACTTCCCTGGTCCTGTGGTTAAGAATCTACCTGCCAATATAGGAGACATAGGTTCAATATCTGCTCTGGAAAGATCCCATATGCTACAGAGCAACTAAATCTGTGTGCCCCAACTACTGAAGCCCGTGAGCCTGGAGCTCATGCTCTGCAACGAGAAGCCACCGCAGTGAGAAGCCTACACGTGACAGTGAAGAGTAGCCCCCACTCACCGCAACTAGAGAAAGCCTATGTGCAGCAACAAAGACCCATTGCTGCCAAAAATAAAATTTAAAAAAAGAAACCAGGGCAAATGTCACCTCCTTAGAGAAGGCTGTCCAGGCTGACACACACAGCCCCCAGGATTAATCATTTATTTCTCAGTTCTTTAGCTTTTGAACATATTTCCCAAGAGGCAACTTGCCACACCATCTCCAGCTCCCAGCACAGGGCCGGGCACATAGAAGATCCTCAAAGATTCACCAAATACACACATGCATAGATGAAGCAATTCCTAAACCGGACATCCTGCCTGAGATTCCCAAGTCCCAGCTGGAGGCCACACATTAGCATGCAGTAGGCAACGGTCCCAGAGAATGATGGTCTCTTTAAACCAACTGGAAGGACGCTGCACTCAGAGGCAGATCAGCCAGACACAAGGTAATTGTTGCTCCCCCAGAAATTGTGGTAACAAAGCCAAAGAGATGCATAATCATTAAAAACAAAGTTTTCTCCTTGGCACTTTTACAGTTGGGCTGATGGATCAGTTATAAAAATGCTGAATAAATAATGAGATGATGGCCCAGGGAGAGCATCTGACAAGAAGGGCTCATGCAGGAATTTTTTAAGGCAGAATCACAGGTTTACTGAACCTGGCAGGTGTGCTCAATCATGACTCTCAGAGCTGAGGCTGCAAAAAATTCTGTCCTTCCACATACCACCAGAGGTTTATGACTGCTTCAGCTCTAAGTGCATCAGTACTGCTGGGCTTCCTGTCCACACGAGTTCCAGGGGCCTTAACAACGAGAGAAGTCACTGCAATGAGAAGCTTTCACACTGCAACTAGAGAGGAGCCCCCACTGTCCACAACTAGAGAAAACCCACACACAGCCCAGCACAGCCAAAAATAAAATTTTTTTTTTAAGAAGACTTTAAAACAATCAGTCTCAACTTCTCCACTCCCTTCCTCTCCCAGTTAGCGTCTGATTTAATCGATCTTGGTGGGCAGTTGGGTATTGAAAGTTTAAACTCACCCCCACACACAGGTGACTAAATGCACAGCAAGATGTGAGAAACACTGACCCACAAGGGGTGACGTGAGGGATGCTGAGAATCTCACCCAGGGTGACATACCAACTAGGTACCAGAAGGCCATAATCAGAGGTCCTCAGAGCAGCTCTCCATCCAAAGTACATACCAGTATTATCCTGAGTGCTCTTAAGAAGAATGAATAAGAGGCCCTGCCCCAGGCCTTTGAAAAGCTCCCAGGTGATTCTATGAAGCAGCTAGGGTTGAGACCCACTGGGCTAAAGCAGTGCATCCTCCAGTGTGTGTGAGACTGAGACTCATCTGTTGCTGTTCAGTTTCTAACTCGTGCCCGACTCCCCATGGACTGTAGCATGCCAGGCTCCTCCGTCCTTCACTAAAAAAAGAAAACAACAGAGATAAATGAGTGTGGTTCCCCACCCACAAGAACCCTGAGTTCATTCATTCAGTTGGTCAGACCACCAGGGCATCAACCTTTTCTACACGTCCACACTGCAGCAAGGACTGGGATACAAGCTGATAAGATAGCCATCCCCACTTTTTTTTTTTCCCAAGCTATGTGGAGTGGTCTGTCTCACCCTGCAGACTATATCTAGTTCCTCCCCCAAGAATCCAACCCTCCCCTGACTCTCCTTATGCTTCCAGACCTGCTCTGAGCTAATTCTGCTGAAGAGCAGAACTGACCTCTGCCCTTTGTTCCACCCGGATCCCTGGACACACATCTGCCAGCCCATTTACAACAATGCTGCCCATGACTTGTCTGTACCCCTAGTCTGAGCTCACCAAAAGGACTGGGACTCTGGTTGGTTTATCTGCCACCCTGGTAGCTTGTAGCTGGTAAACATTCAATGGATATTTATAGTTTATCAAGGCAGAGAGACACATACACATAAAACAGAGCAGGAATTGCTAGGATGGAGGTAACTGTAACGAAAATCAGTGGTTCCCTGGTGGTCCAGTGGCTAAGAGTCCATGCTTCCAACGCAGAGCACCAAGATTCAATCCCTGGTCAGGGAACTAGATCCCACATGCTGCAACTAAGACCCAGTACAGTTAAATATTTTTTTAAAATAACAAAGATGCACGCATCAGGGCCAGACAGAGTGCTTGGCCCAACTGGAGACAGACAGAGCGATAGAGCACAATTCTAACCCCCAGGCCCCCCCCCCCCCCCCCGCCACCGCTAGTCTTGGAAGAAATGTGGAAAACAAAAACCATGACATAAAGCCGAAGGGAAGGGACATTAGGTAATCAGAAACAAGTTGTCCCCAAAAGGGACACATCATTTCCAGCTATTAATCCTGAGTAAATATTTCAAGGAGAAGTAGTATTTGAACTCAGATGGAAAGGACAGACTTGTATATTTGAATGAGCAGACGTGGGATGGTCAGGCATCCTGGGAAGAAAAAATGGTGTAAGCAAAGGTACAAAGGCAGGAATAGGAAGACATGTTTAGGAAGGTCTAGAGATGAAACGTCATACCCAGAGCCTCAGAGCAGAGTGTCTGGGGGCTGGAAAGTCACAGACAGGAATCTGAAGGGACACAAGGCCTCCCGTACTGTCAGGCTCTCCGCAGGGGCCACCAGAAGAGTCTGGCCTCCCTTTGTCTGCCATTTCCACATTTTCTAGATTTATATCTCTTAATTCGATTTCCTCAGTTCACACATTCCCAGCATTTGCAACATTTCCCCTGGGCCTCAAAAATGCATCACGTGAAAGCTGAGTTATCTGTGTTGAACGACAGTTTGGAAGAACTTCACAGGCAAGGTCAGAAGTTGGTCAACCCGGGTCTAGTTGGGGAGGCTGGACGCTGCACTGGTTTGTCCAAGAGATGAATTCAAAATGAAGTGCGGTTCCTTCGAGGAAGGGGATTTCCTTTTTCCTGGCCTTCTCTCCTGATCCCAAGGGCTGAGGCCAGTGTCAAGTGCTCTGAACAAGAGCTCAACGAAGACCAGGCAACCCGTGGCCAGACCCCCACAATCAGTTCTGGGTGAAGTTTCGCGGAGGCAGACAGGGAGGGCCATGAGTGTCAGCAGACACTCAGCAGAGCCTGGGGAGAGGGCATGAGAAGTCTGTTCTTGCCTCCTACGCTGTTGATGGGAATTTAAGTTGGTGCGCCCACTGTGGAAAACAGTATGATGGTTCCTTAGAAAACTAAAAATAAAATTATCACATGATCCAGCAATCCCACTCCTGGGCATATATGTAAACAAAACTATAATTCAAAAAGATACACCCACCCCTATCTTCATAGCAGCACTATTAATAGTAGCCAAAAGATGGAAACAATTTAAGTGTCCATCAACAGATGAGTGGATAAAGAAGATGTGGCATATATATACAATGGAATACTGCCGCTGCTGCTACTACTGCTAAGTCACTTCAGTCATGTCCAACTCTGTGCGACCCCATCCCTGGGATTCTCCAGGCAAGAAGACTGGAGTAGGTTGCCATTTCCTTCTCCAATGCATAAAAGTGAAAAGTGAAAGTGGAGTCGCTCAGTCATGTCTGACTCTTTGAGACCCCATGGGCTGCAGCCTACCAGGCTCCTCTGTCCATGGGATTTTCTAGCAAGAGTCAAGAGTACTGGAGTGGGGTGCCATCACCTTCTCCGACAATGGAATACTACTCAGCCATAAAACAGAATGAAATAATGCCGTTTGTAGCAACAGGGATGCAACTGGAGATTATCCTACTAAGTGAAGTAAGTCAAAAAGAGACAAACACCACATGATATCATTTATATGTAGAATCTACAACATAACACAAATAAACCTATATATGAAACAGAAACACAACCGTTGGCATAGAGAAGAGACTGGTGATTGCCAAGGGGGAGTGGGGTAGGAGAAGGATAGATTGGGAATTTGCAATTAGCAGATGTAAACTAGTATATATAGAATGGATAAGCAACAAGGTCCTACTGTATAGTGTGGGGAATTATATTCAATATCCTGTAAGAAATCATAATAGAAAATATGAAAAAGAACGTATATATGTGTATAAATGAGTCGCTTTACTGTACAGAAGTAATTAACACAACATTATAAATCAACTATATTTTAATTTTTTTTTAAATGTCTATTCTAGGAAATCCTGAGCCAAGGGAAAGAGAGGTTAAGATGGACATTACCAGCCATGGAGAAGGGGGTCAGAGGTCTGAAAGTAGCTAATGATCACCACCACGCAAAAGGACAAAAGTATAAAGGTCCGGGCTTAGAGGTCATCATTCAATGAGGATGAGAACACAAACTGGGCACTCACTAGGGTGTTTCTGCAACCGGGGTTAGAGACTGAGATTCTTCTCAAGGGCCCAGGCCAAGCCTCATCTTTACTTTATGGCCTAAGTATGTTGTGACTGCTGATTAAACACAAGAGAGCTGGCTAGTAGCTGGGTGGCAAGGCCCAGACCCTCTTTAGAGCAGCATTATCCATTAGAAATACAGTTTGTCGTTGTTGTTCAGTCGCTAAGCCGTGTCTGATTCTTTGCAAACCCGTGGACTATACATAGCACACCAGGCTCCTCTGCAGGTAATGCATGGAATATGATATGAGCTAACTATGTAATCTTGAATTTTCTAGTAACCACTTTCAAAGTAAAAAGAAACAGGTGAAATTGATTTTATAACTATATTTAAGGCAATTGATCCAAAATATATTTTAATATGTAATCTATATAAAAATTACTAATAAGATTTTTGCATTTTTTTCAACTAAATCTTTATGTATTTCACACTTACATACACACTCTCACACTTACATTGGGAATTTCATCCCAATTCGAACAAACCACATTTCAGGTGCCCAAGAAGAGCCACCTGTGGTTTAGTGGCACCCACACTGGACACGGTAGCTTTAAGTTGATTTAGTGAAATCAGACGTGAAAGAGAAGAATATCTCTGCTTCATTCTTGGCTGGGGATTCCCTGGTGGCTCAGCGGGTAGAGAATCTGACCATAATGCAGGAGATACAGGTTTGTTCCCTGGGTTGAAAAGATCCCCTGGAGGAGGAGATGGCAATCCATTCCAGTATTTTTGCCTGGAGAACCCTGTGGACAGAGGAGCCTGGCGGACTACAGTTCATGGGGTCACAGAGAGTCAGACAAGACCGAGAGCCTGAGCGCGCACGCGTTAATCCGTGGCCAGAGTGGCTGGCTAGAATGGTGTCCCTTCTGTCCTCACTGCCCTTCAATGTCCCTCCTGAGGCAATTTTAAAAATGACATTTAAATAAAGACATTTAAATAAAAAGCCCAAACTTTAAGAAAAGGAATGGCAAGGCTTCAGGCAAAGCCTGCTGAGGGGGAGGGGTATTAGTCTGCTCCAGCTGACGTAACAAAGCACCACAGCCTGGGTAGCTTAACCAACAGAAATTTGTTTTCTTACAATTGCAGAGGCTGGAAGTCCAAGCTGTTGGCAGGGTTAACTTCCTTCTGAAGCCTCTCTGCTTGGCTTGTAGATGGGAATCTTCTCCCTGTGTCTTCACAAGCTCTTCCCTCTGTATGTGTCTGTGTCCTGATCACCTCGTCTTATCAGAACAATTACAGGGCATAGGGCTCACGTGCATGACCTCATATTAACTTAATCGCCTCTTTAAAGACCCTATCTTCAAATATCCACTCTGAGTTGGGACTTCCAACATCTGAATCTTGGGGAAGACAATTCAACCTTTAACAGAGGAAAACACAGGGATACTCTGAGATTAAATGTTAGCTACAAGTCCCAAGATCCTTTCAATAGGAAAGGCAGAAGCTAAGAGCAGGAAGGAGCCTATATTTTCAAAGCTTCAAGCAGGTCTCCATGTTACCAGAGTTGAATTCGCCTCTAGAGAAGACAGCCTTTTATCTGATGACAAATCCACTCTATGTGTCTCACAGTTGTGAAGACATAAAGCAAACATTCCTGTAGCTATGGAGATGGTAGAGACAGCTGTGGCTCCGAGGAACCAGATGAATCTATGAGATGCAGGGAAAGGTTATCTGTGTGAGTAAGTGGTACTCTGCAGAGTGGGAGAGAAAAGCTTCTTGCACTAGTCAAGGATGTCACTATCCTGTACAAAGAAAAAAAAAATTTATCCTTAAGAAGCTCTGTGGTCTTATTCAGGCAATACTCACAGAAAATGAGAAACTGAGGCCTGGTCTTCACTGAGAGCTGGAGAAAGAAAAAGAAAGTGAAGTCGCTCAGTCCGACTCCTGGCAACCCCATGGACTGTAGCCTACAAGGTTCCTCCGACCATGGGATTTTTCGGGCAAGAATACTGAAATGGGTTGCCATTTCCTCCTCCAGGAGATCTTCCCAACCCAGGGATTGAACCCTGGTCTCCTGCATTGTAGGCAGACACTTTACTGTGTGAGAGAGCTGGAGAAGAGACTGTAAAAAGAACCTGGGCCAGACTGTTAACGTCCACCTCATGATGCCATTCAAGACTGAGGTTCCTGGGGACCGGTATGGTTCTACTACCCAGCTGACTAAACAGAAAAAGAAAATTTATTCAGGAGGAGATTTGAGACGAAACACCTAGAAGTAACACCCAAAACCATTACCCAGCTGACTAAACAGAAAAAGAAAATTTATTCAGGAGGAGATTTGAGATGAAACACCTAGAAGTAACACCCAAAACCATTACCCAGCTGACTAAACAGAAAAAGAAAATTTATTCAGGAGGAGATTTGAGATGAAACACCTAGAAGTAACACCCAAAACCATGGCCCAAGAGGAAACTACCAGCCATGACAAGCTCTATAAGCTTCAGGAACCAGCCCAGCTGCAGTCACTACCACAGCCAGCACTGTTTTCACTTCTGCATCAGGAGCTTGACTTTGCCACCTCTGGGACGCACCATCACGGCAGCCGCCACCACCAAAAGCTGGGCACCTGCGCTCCATCCACACCAGCAAACATGGCAGCCTCACCCAAGCCTGCTTCTTCCTGTGGCTCCCATCTGAAGCAAGGCCCGCATGGATGCATCTGATGGGTGGAGCCGGGTCACAGGCCTGCATCCCAGTCCTAGGGCAGGTGGGAGTGTGGCTTCTGACTTCCTCACTGGGAAGACAGAAGAGGAATTCCCCCAGATACACAAAGACACCGGGCAGCACTAGATGAAAAGAGTTCTGTGGATGGTTGGTGGCAACGGTTACACAATAATGTGAATGTACTTGATACCACTGAACTCATGCTTAAAAATGGTTAAGATGGTACATCTTATATGTATTTGGCCACAATTAAAAAAAAAAAGACACTAGGCAGCTGTGAATATATCAAATGACCACTGCTGATCTCAACGAACGTTTAGTGAATAAGTAAATAAAGGGAGTGGGTGGGGGTGCCGGACTCCAAGACACACAGCAGTTGTCACCAGCCACTGTTTAACATTTCTCAGTGTACTGGACAATTCCTGGTATACTTCATACTTCCTGCTATCAGAGCTCATACCACGCAGGATGACTGTTGTTTACATAATTATAGCTAATTTGTATAAGTGTTTACAATGTGCCTGGTGCTTACACACGTTATCTCAATTACTCCTCGCAATAACCTGGGAGGGGGGTGATGGGTGACCTCATTGCTCAGAGGCAGTAATTCATACTGGAGGAGGAAGACGGTATCAGTCAACAGAAATAGAAAGTGAACTCAGGGCAAACATCCAGAAGAACCTGTGGAGAAGCAGTGATTATAAAAAGAGAAACATCAGCCTGTTTTGGGGGGACCACAATAGCAAGGGGCCTGGAAGAGGCTGGAACAAAGGGGAAGTGTAGCTAAATAAGGTCAGGCTAAAACAGCATATGCCCTGTATCCAGTAGCCCTGGCAACAAGCCCTCACTCTAAGTCTGATATTATAATGAGAAAAGCCACATACAAAGAAAGTAAACAGTCATCCCAGACGGGGCCACATAGAGTCCAGCTGGTACTACACTAAGGAAAGTTCTGGGAGGAGTTTGAGAGGAGTTTGTGCCATAAGTGGAGGTCAAGAGAGAGATCATCTGAACCGTGCATGATAAAGAATTAACCTGGGGCTTCCCTGGTGATCCAGCAGTTAAGAAACTGCCTTGCAATGTTGGGGTCACCGGTTTGATAGCTGGTCTTGAAAGAGCCCACGCACCCCTGCGCCGCAACTACTGAGTCTGCACTGGAGAGCCCTCAAACTGCAACTACGGAGCCCACAGCCTCTGGGTCTGTCCTCTGCAACAAGAGAAGCCAGTGGACCGCAATAGAGAGTAGCCCCTGCTCGCTGCCTCTAGAGAAAGCCTAAGCCCAGCAACGAAGACCCAGAGCAGCCTACATAAATAAATATACAAGGGTCTGAAAAACACCCAGCAGACTCTTAAAAAAAAAAAAATTTAACTTGAATTACACACTCAAGGGAACCTATTGGTCCAGCCCGTACCTGTTGCTTCTGCCGCAGAGTTTGATCCAAGTCTGTGAGGTTAGTCGATCGTGCGTGTGCTCATCCAAATGGTCTCACTGGATGTTCCTCCCTGGCGTCTCTGCCTGGAAGGAACTCCAGGCTGGAAAAGTGTAGGAGTTCACTCCCTAGTTTGAAACTGAGCCGCTGCAGCCGCCCTCTACCTACACTGCTCTCTTGACCCCCTACTACCACCCAGCTGGAAGTAAAAAAGTGAGTGAGTCACACTCAGTCGTGTCCGTCTCTTTGCGATACCACAGACTGTAGCCTGCCAGGCTCCTCTCTCCATGCAATTCTCCAGGTAAAAATACTGGAGTGGGCTGCCATTCCCTTCTCAAGGGGAATCTTCCCAACCCAGGGATCAAACTCGAGTTTCCTGCACTGTAGAATTCTTTACCATTCTTTACCATGGGAGGCCCATGCCCCAGGTGATGCTAGTGGTAAAGAACCCACTGGGAAGATCCACTAGAGGAGGGGAAGGCAACCACTTCAGTATTTTTGCTGGGAAAATTCCATGGACAGAGGAGTCTGGCAGGCTACAGTCCAGAGCGTCAGCAAAGAGTGGAACATGACTGAAGCGACTTAGCACACACACACATGGGAATGCGGAAAGTACGAAATCTAAGGATCTTCCACCAAAAAAAATTAATTTTATTTCATCGAGGACAAGATAGCGGGGCAAGATGAGGGTGACCTGGCTCTGTCTTCAAGGGCAGTGATGTGGCCAGTGAATGGACCTGGGGCAAAATCTGTAGGAAGGGTACCCTTCCTATCTCCTTCCATCAAGGAAATGGGTTTAGTTAAGCCAGAGATTCTTAACTTTGGTCATACATTGTTATCACATGGGAAGTTTTTTTAAAATGCTGCCACCTGGCCCCACCTCTAGATGTTCTGTGTTCAATGGTCAGGCATGCAGCCTGGGTGTTAGTGAATGGGGCAGTCAGGCTGAGAACCCCTAAGCCAGGCAAAGATGCAGTTCTTGGGCTAACTGGGGTGCAGGAGAAGGAGGGAGCCTGAACATGGTTTTTTGTATCAAGGAAGTAAAAGGACCAGTGAGGAGAATGTCACTGGGCATTCATGACAAGAGCAGAACAGAGCTCCTGCTTCCCAGCGGGCAGCTGCAGGTGTCACAGGCAAGACCTCAGAGCCGCAGTCAGGAGGTACATGCCTTCATCAGCCTGCATGGGTGTTAACTGCGCCCAACTCTTAGTGACCCCACGGGCTGTAGCCCACCAGGCTCCTCTGTCCATGGGATTCTCCAGGCAAGAATGCGGGAGTAGGTTGCCATTTCCTACTCCAGGGGATCTTCCCAACCCATGAATCCAACGCCACATTGGCAGGCAGATTCTTTACCACCGAACCACCTGGGAAGCCCTCCTTGCAACCAGCCTGAGACACAGCTTACTGCAAGAGCTGCTCACCAGGCTGCATGAAAAGGAAGGTTATAACTCCAGCTCTGTATCTGGCCTGCCTGACCGTGGGAGGAGAGCTGCATGGCCGCCTGGAAATGGTCTGTTGTGTTTCCAGAGTCAGATAAATAAAATGCATTATTATTTTATTAGCAGCTCTTAAAAGCTCCTGCAGTGGCCTGAGTTACAACAGATACCACTACTTTCATATATTCATTTTATGTGTTTAGTGCTTAATTCACACTCACTTGCATTGCAAAACACTCCACTGTAACACATTTTTACTATGTTCTGTTCTTCTACATTCATCACACTTTATTGATTACTCACCGTCAGGACTTCTGGAAAGCAGCTGCCTTGCTCCTAATCATCCCCTTCTTGTGTTGGTCTTAATCTGTCATCTTTGTTACCACAGAATCTGCTCTCCACGTTGCTTTCTTTCATTAGTCTTTCTTCTATGGTTTCTCAGAGTTCTTACCATTAGTCCACCATTTTGTGCTTCTTAAAAGACTAAGACATAAGATTTGATTGAGGAAAATACTCAAAAAACTTTTTTCTTATCTCCCCACCCCAACCAGCAGGGCCCCAACCATAAACCCACACCCCTGTTTTTCAGTGTCATCTTCCCAATCTTCCACCCAGCTTCACTGGTTCTAGAATTTCTGAGGCCCCGCCTTCTGCCCCCTCGTTGCTCATTGGACAAACTCAACCCCAGGGCTTCCTCTCCTTGGACCCGTCTCTGGCTCAGCTGTTCCACCCAAACCCCTCCTCAGGCTCCTCCTCCACCCAGGCCCTGCCCCCACCAGCATAGGCTCCTCCCTAAGCCCCACCCCTCAGCCCGAGAAGCACCGCCCTCAGAGCTTGAGCCTTAAGCCCTGGCCCCTTTCTCTCCGACAGCAGGTCCGAAGGTTCCAGAATGATGGCTCCCAGGCCTCCGGGGGCGCTGAACTCAGACTTCGGGGCTCCCGGCTCTGGCCATCTGGTCGAAAACTCAATTTTTATTTAAAAAAAAAAAAACACCTTTCATGCTCTGTATAAAGCCCAGAGGATGAGATGGTTGGGTGGCATCACCGACTCAATGGGCACGAGTTTGGGTAAACTCTGGGAGTTGGTGATGGACAGGGAGGCCAGACGTGCTGTAGTCCATGGGGTCACAAAGAGTCGGACACGACTGAGCGACTGAACTGAACCGAACTGAGTAAAGCCCAGAATTGATGGTATGTTGAACATTGCCTGGTGTAGAAATTCTATGCTTAGCTTTCCAAAAAAGGAATAAAATTTCAGAAACAGACATAGACCTTTTCATCAGTAGTCACCACCTCTATCCATCTGGGTCCTCCAGGAAGCAGATGATGGGCTTAGGAATTAGCAGACCCAGAGCTGGGCTTCCCAGGTGGCACAGTGGTAAATCCGCCTGCTAATGCAGGAGGAGATGCAGGAGACGAGGGTTTGATCCCTGGGTGGGGAAGATCCCCTGGAGAAGGAAATGGCAACCCACTCCAGTATTCTTGCCTGGAAAATCCATGGACTTTAGCCTGGTGGGTTACAGTCAGTGGGGTCATCTGACACAACCTAGCGACTGAGCACACAAAAAATGCACAGGTAGAGAGCTGGAGTTAGAAGTGAAAGATTTGTTGGAGAGCCATAACTGTGAAAGATAAAGAGTGAGGAGGCAAGACGGAGCAGGGAAAGCTTTCCGGAGGCCATGCAGACCCTATCTTGTGTAACGAAAGACAGAGAGGAAGGAAAAAAGGCCGGGATCTTCTCAGACCACAGCGCAGATCACGCAGAGTCTTGGGCAACGCAATGGGAGGTGAAAAAGTTGCCTGTCAAAGGGGCTGCCAAAGGGGCAGAAATGGTAGGTGCTGGCAGCTCCACCACGCTCAGACGTTGGTTTGGGGGCTGTCGGGGAGGAGCCTGAAGCTGGCTGAGGAGCTGCTGCTGGAGGCGATCAGCTAACCGCGTTCTTCGCAGCTGAAAGGAACACAGGTTCTTTCTTGAAGGGAGATTCGAGCGCTGCGGATCAGCGGCGGCCGCGCCCCCTCCCATCTCCTGACAGTGTAAACCGTTATAAATGAAAGGCTCAGCATTCGCCAAGGTTACTAAATGCCTGTCTTTTCTCGGCCTGGCATGATCAAGTAAACTGCACTGTAGGAAAAATGCAATTAAACGTTGTACAGAGGTATGCAATTGATTGACAGTCAGTGGCAGGGCCATGGGTAACTTTTCTTTCTGCTTTTCTCTACGCTCCAAATTTTAGACCTTGATTATTTATTTTCTTCTTGATTGGAAAACATTTTTCAATTAATTTTTTTAAATTAGAGGATTATTGCTTTACAATGTAGTGTTTGTTTCTGCCATACAACTAGAATCAGTCATAATTATATATTTACCAGTCTTATTTATCAGGCTTCCCTTGGTGGCTCAGTTGCTAAAGAATCTGCCTGCTATGCGGGAGACCTGGGTTGGATCCCTGGGTTGGGAAGATGCCCTGGAGAAGGGAACAGCTACCCACTCCAGCATTCTGGCCTGGAGAATTCCATGGACTGTATAGTTCATACAGTCGCAAAGAGTCGGACACGACTGAGTGACTTTCACATTCACTTTCCACAGGGCAGCTCCCCAGTGGTAGCCCTCCTCTCCGTTCCTGGGCACAAGTTACCCCCTCTGCTTTGGGAGCAAGCTTCCTCTGGGTTTCCCCCTGCCCCGCCTGTCTCCCCCTCGCACCGTCAGCTCCGTCCCACAGGGAGCGGGAGGAGGGAGTGCGAGTCCTCCAGGGAGGAGGCCTGCGGACCCTCGGCCGGCGGGCCAGCTGCCCCCGCACCTGCGCTGTGTGGTCAGGTGTGCGCTCCCCCTCGCCCCTGGACATCACGATTGTCTGACATCTATTGCCAACATGGAGCACAAAACCTGGCCTAAGGTCAACTCTTCGTGAAGAGTTTGGGAGGAATCAGTGTCAAGTAGAGGCGGTGGCCGGTGGGCAGTGGGCGACGGGTGGCAAAGAGCAGCACAGAAGCCCAGCTGAAGATCTTGCGCCGTTNTAAAAACCGCCTCGGTAGCAATTGCTCTTCTAGGTATACAGGCCAAAGAATTGAAAGTAGAGACTCAAACATGTATTTGTACACCCATGTATTCATAGAGCAGCATTATTCCCAATAACTGGAAGGTAGAAACAATCCAAAAGTTCACTGACAGATGAATGGATAAACAAAAGGTGGCATATTCATACTATGGAATATTATTCAGGCTTTAAAAAAAAAAAAGAAGGAAATTCCAATACACACTGTAACACAGGTGAACTTTGAAGACATCATGCTAAGTGAAATAAGCCAGATACAAAAGGATACATACTGTATGATTCCACTTATATGAAGTACCTGGAATAGTCAAGTTCATAAGGACCAAAAGTAAAATAGACGTTACCAAGGGCTGGAGGGAGGAGAGAATGGGGAGTTAGTATTTAATGAGTACTGAGCTTCAGTTTGGGATGAGAAAAAGTTTTGGAAATGGATGGTGGTGATGGTTGCACAACAGTGCGAATGTACGTAATGCCACTGAATTGAACACTTAAAAGTGTTACAATGGTTTTGTAGATTTTACCACAATAAAAAAAGAATTTTTAAAACTGTGTTAAACTTCCCCGGTGGAACAGTGTGGATAGGGGTCTGCCTGCTGATGCAGAAGACATGGGTTCAATCCCTGGTCCAGGAAGATTTCACATGCCGTGGAGCAACTAAGCCCATCTACCACAACTGCTGAAGCCCACACACCCTAAAACCTGCGCTCTGTAACAAGAGACGTCACCGCAATGAGAAGCCCACACACCACAAGGAAGGTAGCCCTGCTCCCTGCCACTAAAGAAAGCCCAGCACAGCAACAAAGACCCAGCATAGCTAAAAATAAATGAATTTTAAAATAATGAAACAAAATAACTACAACCCACCCCAAAAAACACCTCTTTTGTCCATGCAGTGTTACTACTTACAGGAAGCAAAGCTGAGCTTCCTGCAGGAGTTTCTCATGTAGAAAAGCAACACACACTTTCTGCAATTCATTGTATTTTTCATCACTTTTAATTATAAACACAAGAAAACCACATCACAGAAAGATTTGAAAGTAAAGAAAAAATTCATAATCCCCTTTCTTTTCTTCTTTACAGGAATTTTTTTTTTAGACCTAGTTGTAATCATACTGTTGGGACAAGTCCCAAAAGTGACTTCCGGAAATCGCCTTGGCCCAGAGCAAGATAATCACTATGATTTCTCTTGGGATGCTTAGCCGTGCTTCCCCCAGAGTAGTAAGCATCCATTCTCTGGTGGATGTGGAGGGCTGAGAGATGATGAGAGAGGGGAAGGAGAGTAGGAAGAGAGAAGGCTGGTGGCCCTCTATGATCCCTTGATTCTGGCACCGGGCCATTGGCACACGTGTGCATGGATGTGTACAAGAACATGCATGCACATGGGTTCTCCCCAGGATGAGGGTCTATAACATACCCGAGGCTCTGTTTTGGGTTAAAATCCAAAAAGAATGTTGAGGTAGCCCCAGACCCTGAACACAAGGACAATCTAGTTGATGGCTGAGACCCTTTGCAAGGAGCCCAGGACAGGGTACCCTGGGGAAAATGAAGTGAAACTATGGCCTCCTATTCAGTTTGATTCACACCAGGACAGCAGAATACAAGTCTAGGACTGGACACACCCAGGTTCGAGTCTCAGTACAGCCTTAAGGATGTGATTTGCTTTCATCCGAGCCTCAATTTCCTTAGCTTTAAAATAGGAGTCATATTTCCTACCTCCTGATGGTATCATGAGGGCTGAAAGAGAAACCATGCAAAGTGCTTGGCAGGGAGCCCTCGCTAAGTGGAGGCTATAGCAGATACAGCCCTCCTAAAGCCCCAGAAGCAACTCCACTGACCCAACAAATAACTGAAAACCTTTCCACTAGGGACATGGTTGTGAACTCAAGTGAAGAACTCACCAAAATTATTTTAACATTGTAAAGAAACACTGGAAAAACATAATAAAAGGTTTACTTAAGTATTTTCAGAAATACATGGAACACTTAGGAAATTTAATTATATTCAAACCTTAAATTTCAAACGTTTGGCTTCCTGTCACTTTTTCTAATGGTATAATTAAATTTAAAATAAATTACAAAACTAGGGGGGAAATGTGTTTGGAAATTAAGGAGCACATTTTCAAAAGTCATGGGTTAAATAAGAAATCAGTGGAAGGGCCTCCCTGGTGGTCCAGTGGCTAAGACTCTGCATTCCCAATGCAGGGGACCCAGGTTCAATCCCTGGTCAGGGAAACTAGATCCCACATTCCACAACTAAGAGTTCTCATGACGAAACTAAAGACCCACTACAGCCAAATAGATAAACAAATAATTTTTTAAATAAAATAAACCAGGAATTTTAAAAATACTTAGAACTCTACAGTAACAATAATACTACATGTTAAAAATTTTTTTTTAACCTAAAGCAGTATGGTAGTAGTAGGAATGTATACTTTTACGTTTTTATTACATAATAAGTTTTTTAAAAAAGACTGAAAAACTAATAGTAAAACAAACCCAAAGAAAGTTGTAAGAAAGGGAATAATACAAATAAGAACACAGAATGATGAAAAATAAACATATACCGAAGAATCAACAAAACAAAAATTATGCTATTTTAAAAGATTAATAACACTAACAAACCTCTGGCAACATAAATCAAGAAAAAAATAACATAAGGCATAATATTAGGAATGAAAAATAGCATATAACTGCAGATGCCACATAGATTGAAAAGATGGAGAATATTACGCACAATTTTATGCTAATAAATTTGAAAACTTAAAAGCAAATGTACAAATTCCTAAAAAAACGAGCTGACTCAAGAAGAAATTTAAGATCTGAATAAC